TATTTTGTAACAAAAGTTGCTGCTTTAGAAATCTCATCATCACATCATTAATAGAAGCATTATCCAAAGTTATGGAAAACACTTTACTATCTATCCCCCAATCTACCAAGCAGTCGTAAACTTTCCTAGACAATTCAAAGCCAGAATGTGGGGAAAGCATATCACAGAATGAAAGTATTTTATTATTCAACACCGAATTTCCGTCCACATAATGCACAGTGAAGCATATATAACCAGCATTTGTACAAGCAGTTCACACATCACATGTTAAACAAAGCATACCAGGAGTATTTTTCAATATGAACTTCAATCTTTCTTTTTGTCTTTCATACAATTGCAAAACATTCGATGACATAGTATTTCTAGAAATGAATCGAAAATTAAGATTCAAATACTGACACAGTAACCTCACACTCCTATATTCGATCCATTTAAATAGAAGATTATGTTCAATTGTACACTAGGCAATTAATTCACGACAAACATTTTCATCAATGATTCTATTATTCAATTACAATAATTACATGTAACCATCTCTCAACCATCTTCACCTTTTTCAACAGATGAAAAATGATTTCTAACTTTCGATGATTTTCTTCTTTTTTTGAGTAGATACACTATCACTATTAATTGTATCAGTTTCATTCACACTAGACATTTCTTCTATATCTAAAAATAAAATAAAAGTAAAATGTTGGTACCCCGCGGTTTAGCCGACAAAGAATTTCACTCAAATAGCCCACATGGGTAGCTCAACTGGTCATAGAGGTGAAACTTTGAAAGAATGACCAGGGATCGAGTCTCACCAGCAGCAGTGTGGGAGCAGCCTCTCAACGTGAGGGGGGCTCCTTGTGCGCAGTGAGCACCGGTTTAGCCTTTATGGTTCATGTTCAGTTGAGTCACCATGATTTACATCCGCCTCCTAAATGCTCTGTCGGGCCGGGGTGTAGGGGGCCCTTAAGGTTAGGATTCAGCCTTTTGAAAGAAGAATTTCACTCAAATAAATTCCTAAATAAATAAACATACTGCCTATATCCCTAAATCAAATAAGTACCTAAAATAAAAAACAAAATAAACACAATGTTTATGCTTGAAGAAATCAAATAAATTACTTGCAGTTGGAAGAATTGAGCAACCGCAGGCGATGGTAGTCTACAGTCTGCAGCTCGCATTGAGAAATTGAGCAGCCGCAGAATTATAGAGACTAAGTTGGAGGTCGGCGGTCGGCAATCTTGGCAGATTGGGTGGATAAGCAATTTTGGCAAACGGTTGCGGACGATAATCTCGGCGGTCGACGATCGACACCCCTACAATCTCGGTTTCTCGCATCAACAGTTCTCTGTTATTGCCTTCTTGTGTCGCAATAGCCAACAAGGACATAGACTATAGCTTGATTTCGAATTGAAATTTGCTAGAAACTCATAAGTTTCTTGAAATTTTGGGCTTCAAATTGCTCTCCTAATCTCTGTTCTCTCTGTTCCGGCTTCTCGCGTCGCAACAGCCAACAAGAAGGGAGATTAGAGTTTGATTTTGAATTGGAATTTGCCAGAAGTCTAGAAGTAGCTTGGAATTTTGGGCTTCAAATTTCTCACCAAATCTTGGGCTTCAAATTATATTTTCTCTATTTCACCAATCCGGTGGTAGGGGTTGACCACGGTTCGATTCGAATCAACAAGGAATTTTCGTAATTAAGGAATCGGAACTGCCGATTACGGTTTCAAACTATTAAAAAAAAAAGATGTAATTGATACTTTGATCTCACGTGAGGTCCGGTGCAATTGCGCAAAAGCCAAAGACCAAAGACCAAACTTTGGTTTTTGGCCTTTGCGCCAAGAGGACAAAAATCATATATATGTGTGTGTGTGCGCGCGCCAACTACCATGTAGTCTAATGGTATTTCAGTTTCCATCCAAATAAAAAATCAAAAGTTTGAAGTTCGAACCAAATGGTGGGAGCTTAGATTCTTTGTGCTGAAAATGTTTGAAAAAATATAGAACAGATACTACATTGTAAAGAATCATGAGTATTTCAAATATATATATATATATATATATATATATATATATATATATATATATATATATATATATATATGGGGGACTTCAAGAAGGAACCACTAGTTAGGTAAGAACATAAGAACTAATCCAAACTTTTGAATTTAACACAATCAATGGTTAAGATTAAGTAATCACTTATAAGGAGATCATTAACATAAATAATTAAAAAGGATACTAGAGTAATTTTAACCAGCCACCAATTATAAACTAATAATATATTTGAATTGATTCCAAAAATTTAGGAAAATAATATGGCGAAGAACTCCACTTGGACTGCAATCCTATGATCGCCCAATCTGTTCCAAGACCTTCATTTCCACCGACCAGCGTAAGCGAATTATCGATGATCGTGTGCATCTAGAGGTAGTCAAAGTCAAGCAACAATTGAAGTTTTTCGGAGAGAATGATGACAAGAGAAGACTACAAAAGTAAGAGTAATATTTCAATGCCTAACCGTGTTTGTATTTGATTTTTGAATTTAATGGAATTCGTAATGATGAGTTTCAGCATGCAATTAGTTGAAAAATTAATTCTCATACTACTGTGTGCAAACACAGGTGGAGAAACGCTTCTTTATGTGCACCCACCTGGGTCCGCCATTTTTAAGTACACAGACAAATTGTGCTGTAACGGCACACCCTACACCGCTAAAGTGCACAGACATGCCTGTACATCTTTGGCTGTGTGCACACACATTATAATGAGAGTGCAATGCGAAAATCAGGCATAACGTGTGCACAGACATCCCACTGTAAGTGTACATAACGAATCATGAGAACGAAGCATAACTGTGCACAGACATCCCACCGTAACTATGCTGCTCTTAAGGCACATGGTGTTGGCACACACCACTTAAAGCAAGTGCACACATAGGAAACACAACTACAGAGAATGGGTGTGTCATTGTACACATCCCATTCTCTGAAGGCGTGATTCTTATGTGTGCACTTACGGGGTAATGAATGTGCCACATGGGCTACAGAAATCTTGATCATGTGCACGTTGGTTGAAATGTGTGTGCCACATAGGCCACAGAAATCCTGATCATGTGCACATTGGTTGAAATGTGTGTGCCACATGGCTTAATCATATACCGATTAAATAATGAGTATAACATTTCATAGGTCATGACCGCTCATCAAGAAGTTCATCCAGGACGGTACATCCTATCACGATGGACACGCAATACATGTTGGCAAGACGCACTAGTTTCTACAAAGGTGACTTGGACGATTCAACAACTATTGGTGGTGGGAATTCAAGAATAGCAACCGTATTTGATGAGTTATTCAAGTGTGTTGGACTAGCGTATGGAAACAATGACAGAGTAACAGAACTAGAACAAGTATTGAAAGCGCACAGTGATAAGTCAATGGAAAACATGCCCCAAGAGGAAACTAGATCAGGGAAGAGCGGTATCATACATAGCTTCTGTGGGTCTACATTATCACCCAATATCGAAGTTTATACCCCCACCACCCCCCCGGGCCATTTCAAAGAACAAAGGGTTAGTAAAATGCATGAAATCATCGAAGGAGATTGCATCAGAACAATAAAATGTTGGACTTGCAACCCACACAAACACCATGATAGCCGCAATTGTCTGCTTTGGCAAAAGTTGACCTGAATCTTAGTTTTTGCTATTCTTACAACATTATGCGTTAGAATGCTAATGTCCTATAGTTATTTACACATTCTTTATTATTTTATGTATGAATAAACGTGGAACATGGTGACTAAACAGGCTTATATATGTATTTGGGTTAAATTGTTAGAAACATAATGTTGCATATTGTGTGTTTTTAAAAGACGTAGAACAGGTCAGTGTGCACCTGGGTTAAACTGAGTGTGCCATAATGTGTAGAAGTAGTATGCCCCTGAACAGACGAGCACTTAGGTTGATATGTGTGTGAAATAATGTGTTTAATTTATGTGGCCATGACAAGAGTGCACTTGAAAAAACATTAAGAGTTCAAATCCCCAAAAACCATATTGATGATCTAGCTTCCGGTGGGCACTTTCGGAGAAATTGTTGTCCCATAATGTTCAGACTGAAATCGACTGGGGTGGCGAATCCAAAGTTGGTGTGCACCTAGGTTATGCTATGTGTGCCAAAGTGTGCAGTGGTACTAACAAATTGTGCATTTTTAAAAGACATAGAATATGCTAGTGTGCAAATGGGTTAAATTGAGTGTGCCATAATGTCTAGAAGTAATGTGCCCATGAACAGACGTGCACTTAGGCTGATCTGTGTGTGAAATAATGTGTAATTTTTGTGTCCATGAACATGAGCGCACTTAGGTTTATCTGTGCGTGAAAAAACACTGAGAGTTCAAATCCCCAAAAACCATTTTGATCATCTACCTTCCGGTGTGCACTTTCATGGAAATTGTCGTGCCATAACGTTCAGATTGAGAGCGACTGGGAAGGCGAATCCAAAGTTGTTGTGCATCTGGGTTATGTTGTGTGTGTCAAAGTGTGCAGTGGTATTAACATATCGAACCCTTGGAAAACAAGATGAGGTGTTGCACTATGGTGTGCACTTAGGTTTCAGTGTGTGCCATAATGTCCACAATTAATATCTACACAAAACGGTGTACAAGAAGTTGGTGAGCACATGAGCTACACCATATGTGCAATATTATGAACCAATATTGTAATACACTCCGGTGTGCAGTAGCCATAAAATTTTTGTGCCATTACGTAGAGATTGAGTGTGTACCCTATTGCAATGTCTGTGCACTTAGGTAAACTGCGTGTGCCATAATGTATAGAAAGAGCGTTTCGATGAAAAGATGGAGAACGAGTAGTTATGTAGTTGGGTTGTACCTTTAAAATTAAGCTAAGCTAAGTAAAGCACAAAGCAGATCATCACCATTTAAGCCACAAATAATCATTCTTTGTATAGAAGTATAAAATTCAGTAACAACAATTACTTGAGGGTAGCAATGCACGAAAACCGAAACTAAGTATTTTAAGTAATACAACTACAAAAAACACCACCAAAGATCATTAAGACACCTAGTTTGATCTTCGAGCACTTGACCTCATTGAGACAATGGGGGAAGCACAAGAATGTTGGGTTAGTGGCACCATCCTTGTAGTAAGCAAAGACCAGGGTGTTGTCATCAGCCATGATCTCCCCGATAAAACTGCAAAGAGAACCACACTCATTAGCAAAACAAACTAAAATGCTTCCATTTACGTATAACAAGGATATAATGCAATAACAATGTCATGATAGATTGACAGAGCTTACAATTGGAGGTCACTGAGCTTTGTGAGACAAGGAACTTTGTAGCACCCTTGATATACTTCTTAAATAACTTCATAATAGCACACCAAAAATGATACCACAACAAAATCAAATTAAAAAGAAATTGAAAATAACTAAAACAACAAAAAAATCGTAAGGAAAAGCAAACGGAAATCAAACAAACAAAAATGGAAACAAAAAAAAAAACGAAAGGGACAACCGAATGCAAGACAAGCAAAAACAAACAACTCTACAACTCATATACGATTAAAACAGGCACAAATTGCACAGCAAATCGATACTTCAAACAAAAAAACACCTCAAGTAGCGGACGACCACGTCGCCGGACATAAACGTTTAGAGTTCCTACCATCACCGCCGGCCATCTCAGACGAAAAACAGAAGCAGAGACGAGGGATAACAAATCGGGCGTCGACACGGGAGAAGCGAACGGAAAACTAGCGTGAGGATGAGGAAGATGGCCGTCTACGTAAGAGTCCAACCTATTGTGAACAAATCCAACCAAATCCATACTGCGAAGAAATAGCGAGAACTTCTCACCTTCCACGCACGTGCACCTATTGAAGTTCCTAAAATAACCCTGCTTGCCCAAAAAAAAAAAAAAAAAAAAAAAAAAACAAAGCAGCGGAAAAAACTAATTAAAAAAGAGATTAAACATGTACCGTTGATTGAATAAAATAAATGGCTTAGATTAGTTCTCAAGTTCCTACCTAAAGATGGGTTCCTATATGATTGTTATTGTTATTATTATTATTATTATTATTATTTTATATATATATATATATATATATATATATATATATATATATATATATATATATATATATATATATATATATATATATAATCTGGTTAGAATCGGCGGTTCCAACCGCGGTTCATGAATCAGAATCGGAACCTTATTATAAGGTTTCGATTCTGGTTTGGCCATTTGTAGAATCGGAACCGCAATAACCTCTATCCAGTGGGTTAGTCCAACTCAACCCAGGAACGTTCAAGACCAGCTCAATTATCTTATTTTTTTTATTGGGTTGATTTTATTGGATTTTAGCCTCATAATTTTTAAGACTTATTGGGCTAGCCCATTTTTTTATTGGGTTGATTTTATTGGATTGTAGCCTCATAATTTTTAAGACTTATTGGGCTAGCCCATTGGTTTAAGGCTAAATTGACATCCCTATCAATCGTTATGCTGTGCATCCGTATGCACCATGCATGGTGCATACGGATGCCAAAACGACGTCGTTTTATTAAAAAACGCGCGTCTCCCCTTTAAAAAAAATTCAGGTTCGATTCCCAGCAACAACATTATATTGTTCATTCATTCTGAAATTTTAGTTCATAGATTATGGAATTATAGTTCATTGATTATGGAATTATAGTTCATCGATTATGGAATTGTAGTTTATCGATTCTGAAATTTTAGTTTATAGATTATGGAATTTTAGTTCATTCATTCTGAAATTTTTAGTTCATAGATTAGATTATGGAAATATAGTTCATCGATTATGGAAATATAGTTTATCGATTATGGAAATATAGTTCATCTGTTGTTGCTGGGAATCAAACCTAATTTTTTTTTTTTAAGGGGAGACGCGCGTTTTATTAAAACGACGTCATTTTTGCATCCGTATGCACCATGCATGGTGCATACGGATGCACAGCATAATTTGCCACATCCCTATATACATGTAGATATTTACGCATCTTTTAGAATATATAGGTACATACATGTTATCTAACTTAACAAATATTTCATGACTCACTCTTTTATACTCATTACGCATTACAATTTGCTATAAAAACATTGTTATATTCACTTATATTCATCAACTGAAATTTTGATTTTGTTCATTTAAATTGTAATACATAAATTTGATATCTATACGTTTCAAATTAAAAAATAATCACATATATAGCAGTCCATAACATGTCATAGACTCATAGGTATATATGGAGGGAGCAATAAACAAAGTTGTATTTCACTTTCTATAATGAATGGATGGAATTTCTCCATTTACATTTATAACCCCCAAAGATATATATATAGAACATCATCCTGTCTCATTATAATTTATACATCATAAGCCCCTTTGATGACAAAGCAGGAGATACATTATATTATAGTATATTCCTATCACTGCTGCTGCACAGGTTTGTAATATATCCACTAATCACTGACTATAAGACTGAATTTTGTATATAATAATAATAATAAACCATATAACTATGCACTAGATCAACAGTCTGAGAGTTTTGTTTTAGCAGGAAGGAAGGAAGGCAGCTAGCAGCTAATGTGGTGCAGAATTATTATTCTGATAAGCACATCCTTCATAACCATAAGGGTTTTTGCTGGCCCAATTCCACTGATCTCTACACATCTCTTCTATTGTGTACTTTGCCCTGCAATACAATGCATTTACCAACTCAATCATACCATCAAATTTATAGTTAGTTTATGTACCCTCACGTGTGCGGGCCGATTATTTTGATGGGCTCCAAGCAACACGTGGACCGTAGTCTCTTTTTTTATCTGATACCAAATTGAAGCATGTGCTCCATCTCAACTAAACGCCTAAGCTGATAGTTGGATTGCACATTAATGGTTATATGCTCAACACTATTATAGTATTATATATATATATATATATATATATATATATATTGTTTCTGTGAATAGAAGCACTCACTTCCAGTTTAGCTCGTGTTCCGCCTTCTCAGTTGCTGCATATACAACTTCAGCATCTCCGGGTCTACGACCCGCCATCACCAATGGAATTTTCTACATAAAGCAGAAGTTATGTTAGAGCATGTCTACTTTACGAACACGATTTGGGATTTTACGAAAAATAAAATAAAATGGCTACCAATTTAGTTCGTTTCGCTACATACATTCATAACATGTTTAATGTTCCATTGAGAAATCCCACAATTATGAGAATGAGTAAGAACCAAACAGATGAGACGAGATGTAATACCTTTCCTGATGCCTTCTCAAATGCAGATACCATTTCCAGGACTGATGTACCCCTCCCGGTTCCCAAGTTGTATACCTCACATCCTGATCAAACAAAACAAAAGATCGAGCGTTTTAGATATTGCCATTTTTTTTTATCAGACCACGAGGTGTCCTGAGCAGGCCCTAACTGTAGGAGGCACCTTTAAGCCCGTACCATACTCAGACTAATCCTCGTTTGCGCCGGGCCGGCCCAATTAAGGGGCAAAGTGCTAGCCAAATTGGTTTTTCCATACGAGAGGGCATACCTATTGAAGGGTCCGCAAGTTTCTTCAAAGCAGCAACATGGCCATCCGCTAAATCAATGATGTGAATATAATCACGAACCTGCAGGAGAGCATCGCAAAGAAGACATGAACAAAGACCATACTAATTGTGTTTGTGAAGAAACGTTGAGACATATATATTAGGCATACCCCCGTGCCATCCTTAGTTGAGTAATCGGTTCCATAAACTGTCAACGCATGCTGCCTTCCAACCGCAACTTGTTGAATAAATGGCATAAGATTGTTCGGGATTCCACGGGGATCTTCACCAATATGGCCACTGGGATGGGCACCAACCGGGTTAAAGTACCTCAGCAATATGATTTTCCATTCAGAGTCGGATCGGTGTACATCACGACATATTTCTTCAATGAAAAGCTGAAACATTGTCTCAATTCTCGTTAATTGAAACAATATTCCAAATGTTCAAATTCATAAAGAAAGCAACAGAGCAAAAAGTAGTACCTTTGTTCGCCCATATGGGTTTGCAGCGTTTATGGGAGATTCCTCTGTGCACGGGACCACTTTCGGCCAACCATAAACAGTAGCCGAGGATGAAAATACAAGCTGGAAACGTAAAAACAATGACAACGAGTCAGAAGATTGAAGTATTATAACCAAGCAAGTAGAATGAGCTCTGCAAGAAAGAAACAAAACAATACATTTTTGCATCCATGGGCCGCCATCACTTCCAAAAGAGTAATTGTACCAATAAGATTGTTGTTATAATACATCAAAGGCTTCTGCACACTTTCACCAACTGCTTTTAACCCCGCAAAATGGATAACAGCATCAAACCTGCAAGTATTTAGAAAGAAATGCATAAAGATCATCCTTTTACTTTCACATGACCAATTCAAATGATAAATTTCAGTTTTCAAAGATACAATAATTTGTCTTATCACTCTCTCTCTCTCTCTGATTACAGACATCCAGAGCAGAGGAAACACTCAATATCTACACAGACTAGAGCATTACATAAACAATTTTTTAAGAAAAAACATATCCTTAACTGGATTTCCTTAAAATTTTAAAACTATAAAACCTTACTTGTTGGAATCAAAGATTTCTTCCAGTGCAGGTCTGTCACGAAGATCCATCTGCAGCAGCTCAACCCAAAATTACAAACATGAGTAAAACCAAAAAATTTCAAAATCCCTCTGTGCATTATTTTATTTAATTAATAACCAAAATCACCAGCATGCAAAACATGAAAAAAAAGAGTACTATAACATGACCAAAAGTCCAATTATTTCCTACCAACAATTCGTTGATATTCACGAAAAAAAAAATCCTCATACCTAACAATTTTTTAATGATGTCCGGATTCTTCCCAAGTCAAAGAAAATGGAACTTGGCACCAAACCCAATTCTAATATTAGTATCGACATATTTATTGGTTTCTTAACTATGAATCTCGTTGTCGAGCGGCATAATTGTGGCCCTCTCAGAGTAATTGAGTCAGTAATACTTTTTTTTTAAAAAAAAATCTATTGATCTCATTATTTCTGAATAAATAACTCTAATATTTATGAGTTAATATAATTAATTATTGTATTTTTAAAACATCATCTTTGCCGCAAATAGTCACTTTTGTTATAATTATGGAAAAAGTAAACACAGGGCCCTAGCTGTAACAAGAATAATAATGGCAAAAATTCACTATGAACAAAAATCAAACACCAATCGAGCATTCGAGCAACAAAGGGCATATCCCCAACAGTCCTCCCAAGTCAAACAAAAGAACATTCAGAATCAT